ACAAGAGGTATACTCTGATGTGTAATAGCATTAACTTGGGGACGCGGGTGCTGCTGTGGATTAACCAGCGGAGCCTGAGAACTTGCTGATCAGAAGGTCGCAGTTCGAATCCCAGACGGGTGTGAGCTCCCGTTGCTCCATCCAGCTCCTGCCAACCTAGCAGTTGAAAGCATGTCAAAGTGCAAGTAGTAAATAGGTACCGCTTCTGGCGGGAAGGTAAACAGCGTTTCCGTGTACTGCTCTGGTTCGCCAGAAGCGGCTTAGTCTGCTGGCCACATGATCCGGAAAACTGGTGCAAAACCCGGCTCCCTTCGGCCTATAGAGCAAGATGAGCGCACAACCCCAGAGTCGTCTACAGCGGACCTAATGGTCAGGGTACCTTTACCTTTACATTTTTCAGGACCGGGTTGTCAGTATTGGCAACACACTGCTCTGGGTTGTAGGAGGATTTAGCGGTACTGGGGTTTTGCACTCCGCTCTTTTTTGATTGTGAAGCAGCAATTTGGTTTGCACTGGAAATATGCAAGGCTCCAGCCTTTTTAGAGAAGACCAGCTACATGAGCAGTGCGCCTGAAGGCGTTTTCAGTGACAGTTGCAATTGTTGTGTGTGCTGAGCGTCTCTGTTGTCGTTCATTTTGCTGGTTACAGTGGTACTCTAGGTTAAGTACTAATTCGTTGCGGAGGGTCTGTTTCTTACTGAAACTGTTTTTAACCTGTAAGCACCAGCTTTCAGCTAATTGGGGCTCTTGCTTGCTCGCGTGCGCCGCAGAGCACGCTGTTTCTGTTCCTCTCCTGAAGCAAGTTCGTGTAACCTGAGGTTAATATTTCTGGGTTAGTTGGGAGTCCTCGTAACCTGAGATTATGTAACCAAGGTCCATCTGTACTGGCGTTGTTCTTAGTATTTTGCTTTCTTGAGCTGGCTACCTTGTCGCTGTCTTAGCCTTATCTGCTAGATCCTTTCCAGGAAGCTTATGTTTGTTTGGCACACAGACAGCTTGGCGAACATAGCACCCCACAGAGAAAACCTAGACAGTTGTCGCTGTTGCTGTTGACTGTGAAATAAATGATTTTGAGGGCGTTCACGCTTGCTCCGTCAGCACACAGGTCTACTCGGTTGCAACTACTTCTTGAATTACTGATGCAGTTCAGTTGCGCCGTTGTTCCAATGAACAATATTGTGTACATGAGCTGCATGAATCGTATAAGGCAGGTCAAGTGATCAATGGGCTGAGCACTCCTTCGGAGGAATGTGCTAATGGACATTTGAGGTTTTTTTGGGTTTAGTAAAAACAATGACTATGATTGATGGAATAGCAATCGATTGATGGGGTGACTTTGGTTGAAGTGAATTGAGGGGATGTCATCATAATTTGCAGAAGATGCGACCAAATGGCGAGGGGTTAGCTAATGCCGAAGACAGATCGAGATTCATAAATGCCTTCACACGATGGAGAACTGGACCAAGCTACCAAAATGCTTTCCTCATGCAGGGACACATGTACCGTACTTTTTTTGCTCTATAATGATGCACTTTTCCCCTCGAAGTTCGGGGAAATGTGTGTGGTCGTTTATGGAGCGGAATGAGGTGGGGGAGGATTCTGCTCAGCGCTCCCTGTTTAAGAGTGCATGGAGGTTGTTGTGCGGGCTCTTGGGGGCTTTTAATGCTGAGGAGGGAGAAGGGTGCCTTCTCCCTCCTGTGTGGGAAGAAGTCCCAAGAGTCCGTTACATCATGCTCCGGCACGCTCTTTAAGGGGGGGGGGGAAGGCGCCGGGCTGCTTGGGGGAGCCTTTCATGCCCGCTGCCCTGAGAGTGCATTCGCCCGGCTCTCCATGAAGCCAGAACCAGCAGAGGGCTTCCCAAGAGCCAGATCCCTGCATTGCTGTTCTGGTTCTTGGGATTTCGAATAATTTTTTTCTTGTTTGAGCCTCGCTTCCAAAAACTAGGTGTTGTTGTATTGGTCTGGTGCATCTTTATAGAGCGAAAAATACGGTAAGTTTTTTGCACTTAGGCAGGCAATGAATCAACTGCCACAAATATACGATGGGGGACACCTTTGCCCAAAGGGATTGAGGGATTTTTAGGTCAGAGCCATAGCTGAGGACATGACGTTAGTGCAGCCGCAGCAAAAAGTAAAAAGGTATGCTATTGCTAGGCTTGCATAAAGTGTCCAGATCAGAGGGAGTGAAATGTACAGTGGTCCTCAGGTTAACTCCGCTTCAGGTTACTACGGCTTCAGGTTAGACTCCGCTAACCCAGAATGTGCTTCAGGTTAAGAACTTTGCTTCAGAATGCGAACAGAATCGTGGCTCCAGTGGGCATCGGCGGGCGCTGGGAGGGGGGCCCATTGCTAAAGTGGTGCTTTTAGGTTAAGAACACGTTGTTCGGTTAAGAACGGACCTCCGGAATCGAATTCAGTACTTTACCGCGGTAACACTGTACACTTATTCTTGCAGTTGGCCAACACTTGACAACTGTGGTCCGAGTTTGTCTGGGGCACCACACTTTAGAGGCTGTTGGACAAGCTGGAATGTGTGCAGAGAAGAGGGTGGAACCAAGATGGTCAGGTTCTGATCAGACAAAGCCTTTATGAAGAAGACGGTTTGAGAAGCTGCGTATGGTTTTGCCTGGGAACAGTGAAACTGAGAGGAGATATGATTAAAGGCCATATTCAAATATTCAATGGCTTGTCACTGCAAGAGGGAACATGTTGTTTCCTCCTGCTTCTGGAGGGTCGGACTTGAACCAGTTGCTTCAAATTGCAAGAAGGAGAAACAACAAAATCAATAGCCGTTGGTGAGGATGGCAGAGCTGTGGAGCCACTCACCTGAAACTAGCATCACTGCAGCAGACTTAGATAGGGCAGGAGTGGAGCAGAGCAGCATTGAGGCCGAGGCGGAACTGGCCAAGTCAATCTGGAACTGGCAAGGGCACAGTCACAATATTGCAACTGCCCTGCCCCACCCTTCTCCCGTCCAAGTAAACTGCAGTGAGACAAGTGCCAGGGAGGAGAGCTTCTCCCTTCCCCCAACCATCCAAGCCACGATGGGATAATCTGAACGAATGAATGGGTGTGCTCCGCGAGGCCACCAAATTAGCTGAGTGTGGCTATTTAGATCAGTTAATAGGTCATTGGCCCTGTTATAGCTGAAAGAGCGTCTCCACCCGCATCATTCAGCCCGGACACTGAGAGCCAGGTCCAAGGGCCTTCCCTCACTGCAAGAAGCAAGGTTACTTAGTGGCGCCCGCCTTGTGGAACGCCCTCCCAGCAGATGTCAAGGAAATAAACAACCACTGACTTTTAGAAGGACATCTTGAAGGCAGCCACTGCTTAATTGGAAAGTTTTGTAATTCGTTTGATGTTTTATTGTGTTTTGAGATATTCTGCTGGGAGCTGCCCAGAGTGGCTGTGAGAAACTCAGTCCAGATAGAGGCGGGGTTATTAAAATAAAATCAAAATAATTATCCATCATCATACTGAAGAGTCGTTGAAAGCAACCATTTTCATTTTAAGGAACTTACTCAACAATCCTGTTGGAAATTCCTCTGGAGTAAGTGAACCATTGCCATCTGCCATCCAGGAGTTTCAATAATACATTCTCCACGCTCCTCCGAGTACTAAGAGGGTAACTCACACATGAAGCCTAGAAATGAACAAATTGCTTTCCTCGGTCATAAAAAATGAATGTTCAGTCAATGTAAATCTTAAAAGTCATACAACAAAATAATTTTAGATTTGCAGAAGATTGCCGTGGTCAACTAAATGACAGAACGCTCCAACAAAAGCCGCCTTGTACACTTTACCTGCATGTCACGACGAGCAATGAATCCTTTGCCTTCCACATCACAGATCTGAAAGCACTCGTGTGCTTTGCTAACATATCCAGTTGCGTTCCTGAATTTCCATCTGTTGATTTGCTACTTTCTGCATTTTCTTGTCGCTCACGAGGAGCATGATCTTTTCTTTCTTTCCATCTTCACCGCTTTGATTGCAGAAGCATTTCAGGAAGCAACCATATAGTTTGGTCTCCAATTTCGCCCCGCACCTGAATCTGAAGAAATAAATACATCTCAACGATGCTCTCCTTTATCTTTTAGCAACCACCTCTCTTAGGTAGCTGCTGAAGCACAGAAGAAGGAGGGGGTCTCTTTTATTGGACAAAATGGCCACCATGATATTCTTGCCTTTCATAGAGTGGACAACTGCAAATAGGTCAATGAACGGAAAACGTGGGGCTGGGGAAGGTGGAGCACATCTAGAAATTATATCAAAAATAAAGCCAGCCTGATCAAAAGTGGTAACACAGAATTTTACCTTTAATACTGTTATGAATTTGTGGGTGCCAGACAGTTATAATCCTTGGATTCAGCAGGTGTTAACAGCTAATTAAGACAGGCTGCCTTCCTGTTTTGAGGTGATCGCATGGGTGATGGGCCATTAAGAGAACAAGGGGATAAAGGGCTCGGTGTGAGACGTCTCCCCTCTAAAACCAGAGTTTGGAGTAGAGAGATTAGTAAGATGTGATGTGAATTAGAAGGAAAGCAACAAGCTACAAAGCCAGATAGGCACAGAATGATATTTGATGTCTGTGTGAATGCAAGACTGTAGCTATAGGAGAAGCACGACCCTTCTGAGGTGTTGATGCTGTGAGCTCCTCCACCGTAGGCTCAGGCTGTATATATGTGTAAATAAACCATATATCCTAAAGACACTGCAGTCTCCGCTGTGCCTCATTCCCAAAAGGAAACAGAGATGCTAAGTAAGTGCCTGGTACCCCTGACATATTTCACAACTCAGAGTTTGGGGTTGCGTGCAACAAAACCTTCCCCTATTATAGGGTTGGGGAATCTGTGGCCTCCCAGATGCTACTGTACTCCCATTTCCATCAGCATGGCCAATGGTCAGGGATGATGGGAACTGTAGTTAGAAGCCCTCCTTTATTTTAATTCCTTAGTTCTAATCTATGTCGTTGCAATATCGTCCTCTGAACTCAATGTATTTTCATGTTTAAAGGTAAAGGACCTCTGACAGTTCAGTCCAGTTGTGGACGACTCTGGGGTTGCAGCAATCATCTCGCTTTACTGGCCGAGGGAGCTGGCGTTTGTCAGCAGACAGTTTTCCCGGGTCATGTGGCCAGCAGGACTTAGCCACTTCTGGCAAAACCAGAGCAGTGCATGGAAACGCCGTTTAGAATAGAATAGAATTTATTATTTATACCCCGCCCATCCGGCTGGGTTTAACCAGCCACTCTGGGCGGCTTCCAACAAAGTATTAAAATACAGTGGTCTAAAAATAAAATAAAATAGAAATACAGTGGTCTGTTAAACATTAAAAGCTTCCCTAAAGAGGGCTGCCTTCAGATGTCTTCTAAAAGTCTGGTAGTTGTTTACCTTCCCGCCAGAGCAGTACCTATTTATCTACTTGCACTGCGTGCTTTCAAACTGCTAGGTTGGCAGGAGCTGGGACAGAGCAACGGGAGTTCACCCTGTCGCGGGGATTCGAACCACCGACCTTCCGATCGGCAAGCCCTAGGCTCAGTGGTTTAGAGCACAGCACCACCCGCCACCCTTTTCCCCCCTCATGTATTGTTCACAGGAAGAGTTGGATGTGCAGTTGGGACCTCCAACGGATGGAGGGGAGAACATTAAATGTTCACTGACAATTTTCAGACCATTTCACCCAGAACGTAAAAATGCATTGAGCACAATTTTTCATCCATCACCTGGTAACATATCAGACTTAACTAAACAGAAGTTCCTCCCTTTTATTACCTTTGCTTTTCGCTGTCCCGTGTTAGATCCTGTTTGTATAAAAGTGTAAACACAGGTCACTCGAGTCACAGGACAAGAGAATAAACTCTTAAGAGCCTTATCTCCAAACACGCTGCAGCAGCAAATAATTACTTAGGGTGGTTTCCACTTCTATAAACTCACTAGTGTTTCTTTTATAGTTCCTAATAGTTAATATAGTATAATATTGTTATGAGTTGGGGCAGCTGTATGCCTCAGCCCCTTTCTAATTCCTGGATCCCGCACCGATTCAATTCCTGGTATAGAAAGACTTGCTTCCTGGTGAGGTAATGACCCTCTAAATATGGGCCATTAAGCTAACAAAGGAAGTGGCTCTGTGCCAGATATCAAATAGGTGGGCCTTCCTCAACTCACTGGTAGTTAGAAAAAGAAAGGCTAGAGTTGAGAGTTGAACTTAATGAGCTAGAACCTGGAAACTGGAAGCTGACAAGACTGCAGGCTGGGAGACAGAACCAGGCCTGGTTGCTGCTGGAATCCAAGGCTGTGGCTATTATTATTATTATTTATTAAATTTATATATATCCCCCTAAACCCGGGGGTCTCAGGGCAGTTCACGGAATAAAATCAAGATGTAAAACTACAAAATACATAATAAAAATAAAAGCAACAACCCAATAGCCCCCCCAAAAAACCACACATTTTGAAAGGGTATAGGATGTTGATCGGGTCAGCCAAAGGCCTGGTTAAAAAGGCATGTTTTTGCTTTGCGCCTAAAGGTATACAATGAAGGCACCAGGCGAACTTCCTTGGGGAGAGCAGTGCCATCAAGAAGGATGCCATGGGTATACCATATATCATCATCAATCTTTATTACGGTCCAGAGACCCAACAAATCATTACAAAGCAATACACAATTCATACAGCCTACCTCCAGGTTAAACAAGCATTTTGTTCAGAATATAGGGATCATTGGTTCTTGCAACCACCGATAAAAACTTTGCCACTGCTAATGTTCTAGCATTTGTCCGGTCTTCCAATAGGAACCTGACATAGTGAGCCTCTGATTTCCCCGGGAAAAGTACCAGCAAAGGTAGTATCAGTTCAGCCCTGGCTTGCTCATATTTTGCACAATGCAACAAAATATGTTTTATGGAGTTGATGTCTTGAGCACACGAGCAAAGTCTGTCCTGGTAGGGAACTCCTCTCAACCTGCCATCCAACACTGCAGAAGGAAAGACGTTTAGTCTGGCTTTGGTGAAAAGCCTTCGATAGTTTGGTACTGTCAGGTTTAAAATGTAAGATGTTAACTTAAAGACATGCCCATATTGTACCCCTACTGCCAGCAGACTACAGACTGTGTGTGATCGAGATTGCAAGTCACTGTGTGACCATATATCATAAAGACACTACTGCTTCCACTATTCCTCATTCTGAAGGGAACCAAATCCTGGGTTAAGGTGCCTGGAACTGCTGGAATTTTGCACTGCTCAGAGACTGGAGTGGCAGGCAACATTATACAACAGTACCTAAGGACATGAGCTTTGAGCTAGCATGCTCATTTGTGGGAAGTGGCTGAGGCTCGCAAGCATGCGCCCTTGCTGGTTCAGAAGCTCACATGTGCCTGTAGCATGTCTACGTTAAGTGGGGGTGGGCGAGGAAATTGGTGTGACCACAGGAAACATAACGGCCACTTCAAGTGTGAGTTCATTCTGAGCGTTTCCACCCAGCCCCAAACTTTTTGTAACTGAAAGAAAGAACATGAAAGGTGGAAGAGGAAATAAGAATGAACAGAGAAAGACACGGGAAGGAAGGAAGGAAGGAAGGAGGAAGGAAGGAAAACAACACAGGAAGGAAGGAAGACAGGAAATTTGGGGAAATGAAAAATACAGGGAGTGAGCAAGAAAAACAGAAGTGCTTTGAAAAAGAATGGGGGAGTAATGGGGTGCAGTGGCGTAGCGTGGGGGGTGCCAGGGGTGCCGGCCGCACCGGGCGCAACATTTTGGGGGGCGCGTTTGGCCGGCCCCCCTCGAGGAAGCGGGAACCTCTCCAAGGCACAGCGTGCCGTCGGTAGAGGAAAAAAGCTGCGCAGCAGCAGCAGCAGCAGCAAAGTCGGGAGGAGGAGGAGGTGGAGCGAGCCTGCTAATTCCTTGCTGGGAATTAAGCGGCTCAAGACTCTCTCCACTGGCCGCCTGGGTAGTGAGCCGAGCGGAGCAGGGAGTCTGGCGAGGGGGCGGGAAGAGACTTTCCCCCCTTTTTTCCACCTCGCCTGGTCAAAAAGGAGAGCGGAGTCTCCTCAGGGCGCCCTCAGGCAGGGCAGGGAAAGGCAAGCAGAGCGAGGAGGAGAGGGGGGGAGCAGCCAGGAAACGCCGCGGTGTGGAGGAGGAATCAATTTAGGAGAGAAAGCGAAAAAGCCTTGGAGAAAGGGGAAAAAGGAAAGAAAAGAGGCAGCTCCAGGAGAGCGCGGGGGAAAGAGAAGCCTCGCTGCTGCTGCTTGGGAGAGTAAATTACTGTACTTGCCTTGCCCCGGGTTAGGGGGCGCAAATTACTTGCCTTGCCCCGGGTTAGGGGGCGCAAATTACTTGCCTTGCCCCGGGTGCTGATAACCCACGCTACGCCGCTGATGGGGTGTTCTCTGTTATCTGGGGTAATATTATAGACCTTCCTTGACCTATTAGTTGGGTACTGAGACTTCTCTTCCGCCACAAAGCATAACCACATACTCTTCAATGTTCCTCAGATGAAAATAGGGACATTTCTCACTCTCCCCTCCAGCTGACCCTCCTCAACACAGCAAATGATTAGTTGAGAGAGATATTTCTACACACATATTTGATTTTTTATTTGATTTTTTTGTGTGTGTCTCAATTTGGTGAGAGGATGCCATAACACTAGAATTCATGGACATCCAATTGAGCGGAATGTTGGAAGATTCGGGAAAATCCTGAAAAGAAAATCCTTCTTCACCCAGAAGATGGTCAAACTATGGCACACGATCACACCAGTGCCTAGGAACTGGCTGATCAGAAGGTTGGCGGTTCGAATCCCCGTGACGGGGTGAGCTCCCGTTGCTCGGTCCCTGCTCCTGCCAACCTAGCAGTTCGAAAGCACAAAGTGCAAGTAGATAAATAGGTACCACTCCGGCGGGAAGGTAAACGGCGTTTCCGTGCGCTGCTCTGGTTCGCCAGAAGCGGCTTAGTCATGCTGGCCACATGACCCAGAAGCTGTACGCTGGCTCACTCGGCCAATAAAGCGAGATGAGCGCCGCAACCCGAGTTGGTCACGACTGGACCTAATGGTCAGGGGTCCCTTTACCTCTACCTTACAAAACATTTAGACGAATTCATGGAGGTGGAAAGGGCTCTTGATGGCTACTAGCCATGAGAGCTATGCTTTGCCTTAACAGTAACACTTCTAAATACCAGCAGCTGGAAAACTAAGGAGGGGAGGGATGTTCTTGGGTTCGAATCCTGCTTGCAGGCTTCCCACAGACATCTGGTTGGACACTGTGGGAACAGGATGCTGGATCAGGTGGGCCATTGGCCAGATCCAGCAGGCTTTTCACAGAACCATAGAATTGTAGAGCTGGAAGGGACCTCAAGGGTCATCTAGTCCAACCCCCTGCAATGTGGGAATCTCAAAAAACACCCATGGCAGATGGCCATGAAATCTCTGCTTAAAAACCTCCAAGTGATGAGAGTCCACAACCTTCCATGGGAATCTGTTCTTATGTCCTAATAATCTCAGGTTGCTGATCTATGTTTGAACCTATATCTATCTATTGATTCATTGTCAAACTTTGTATTCCACAGACATTAAGGCCAAATGCACAGGGGGTTTTGAGAAGGCAGGGGTTCACGTAGAATCATTCCTGCAACTGGGAACTTTTTATGTAAAATAGCTTTGATGTTTTTGCACTCAAGCAGTGTATAAGTTTTACGAAATAAAATAAATAAAATCAACTCTTGATAAAAGGTGGGGTATAAATAAATAAATAAATGATAATAATAATAATAATAATTACAGTGGAGTCCCAAGCAAAGGGAAGATTCTAAGTGCATTTACCTAAGCCCACTTAAATACACCCTGCTAAATATGGGAATGTTTGATATCAAGCTAGCACATGGCAGCCCTGTTTAGGGAAGTTTTCAATGATTAATGTTTTACAGTGGTACCTCAGGTTAATTCGTTCCGGAGGTCTGTTCTTAACCTGAAGCACCACTTTAGCTAATGGGGCCTCTGCGCTGCCGCTGCACGATTTCTGTTCTCATCCTAAAGCAAAGTTCTTAACCTGAGGTAGTATTTCTGTGTTAGCGGAGTCTGTTACCTGAAGCGTATTTAGCCTGAAGCGTATGTAACCCGAGGTACCACTGTATTGTGCTTTTCATTCTGTTGGGAGCCACCCAGAGTGGCTGGGGAAACCCAGTCAGATGGGCGGGATATAAATAATACAATGATGATGATGATGATGATGATGATGATGAAAACCACTGCCTTAAATTTTTTATGCTGTCTAGTTGAACTGGTATTGGCAATTTTCAGGGATGAGTTGGAGGTTTGCCCCAGAAATGGGTTTTTAATGTATTGGTTTTAACAACTGCATATACTACATCAGAATAATTATATACCCCCCTTTCTTCTATTATGGAACCCAAGAAGCTTACAGTGGTGCCCCGCAAGACGAATGCCTCGCAAGACGAAAAACTCGCTAGACAAAAGGGTTTTCCGTTTTTTGAGTCGTTCCGCAAGACGAATTTCCCTATGGGCTTGCTTCGCAAGACGAAACATCTTGCGAGTTTGTTTCCTTTTTCTTAAAGCCGCTAAGCCGTTAATAGCCGCTAAGCCGTTAATAGCCGCTAAGCCGTTAAAAGCCGCTAAGCCGCTAAGCTGCTAAGCCGCTAATAGCCGTGCTTCGCAAGACGAAAAAACCGCAAGACGAAGAGACTCGCGGAACAGATTAATTTCGTCTTGCGAGGCACCACTGTACATGCAATTCCCAGATAGTCAGCCATCCAGGCACTGACCAGACCCAGACCTGTTTAGCCATAGCAAGGTGATGGTCTCCTGCACCTTCACACCATACCCTGGAATTGCATCCTTTTTAAGATGCTTCAACAACTTGGTTGACCTTACACATGCTTAGCTGTAAACAAGTCCCACTAAATGATATTCCGGAGCACTGCGTCACCAATTCCTGTAGTTACAAACAATTCAGGGTGCAATCGCATACTCACTTACCTGGGAGTAAGCCCCATTGAGTTTTGAATTCAGTGGAACTTACTTTGGAGTAGACCCATTAAAAATGGCGGTGCAAATGGGCCTACATGCTAGCTGCCCACATCAAAGAGAACACAAAACCCTTTGCTTAAAGTAAGGGTGCCTATTTGATCAGGTTTAGAATATTCGCCGTATTTTTCGCTCTATAAGACGCACCAGACCACAAGACGCACCTAGTTTTTGGAGGAGGAAAACAAGAAAAAAAATATTCTGAATCTCAGAAGCCAGAACAGCAAGAGGGATCAATATGCAGTGAAAGCAGCAATCCCTCTTGCTGTTCTGGCTTCTGTGATAGCTGCGCAGCCTGTATTCGCTCCATAAGACGCACACACATTTCCCCTTACTTTTTAGGAGGGAAAAAGTGAGTTTTATAGAGCAAAAAATAAGGTATATTGTTATAATGAGAAAAGAAAGAGAAACAAACCCACCGATGCCATTAGAACAGGTTGAGATTGCAACTAAATCTACATAACTTTTCGATTGTCCTGAATATCCGTTCTCCTCCCCTGACAACCCACCAAGTAAAACTGCTCTCTTTTTGTTAACAGCACCTAGGATGAAGTGCCGTATTACTTGTCTTGTCATCTTCAGTGAGTTACGCTTACATCCTTTGAATTTACTCTAAGCCAGGGGGGCCCCGCACTGGATCTTCGACACAGGAAAGAGATTATGGCTTTGCCACATTTCAACACATAAAAGACAGAGGAAGTGGAAACCAATGCCCTTCAGCTTCAGTAACAGACATGTTCCAGTGGTTGCTGGCAAGCTCATTCCTTCAGCTAGCTTTGGCTTCAGCATATGTGTCATTAAACATTACTCTGCTTGCTTTCTGGCCAGTTATTTGTACTTTATTTTAAAAACCCCCGACAACTTACCTCTGCTCACTTCCCTGGAAGAACAAAATACATAGCCGCAGATGGCTCTCATGCAAAGGAACACGCTCAGCCGCGTCCGGCTGCAAGTCCTAAGCTTGTTTTCTGAGGCTGGTTGTGTGCACATAGAGGAAGAAGGAAGAGCGAATCAGAGGGGGCAAAGCACTTCCAAAACATTGCTGAGTCAACATGAATTTTATACAAGAAGCTGTGGGCGGGACAGAGCGAGTCTAACCTGTTCTGCCTCTTCTTTTCCCTCCCATCTTGTCAAACCCACATACATATACATGCCGTTTTGCCACAAGAGTAGTTTCATTTTATATGCAGTTGCTGCTTTGATACTCGAGTAACAGTAGTTGAGTCATGATAGCTGGTATTGGAATGCACAGTTTTAAAGACACTCAACACACGCTTTAAGGTCTTCTTCTTCTTCTTCTTCTTCTTCGTTAAAGGTAAAGGTAAAGGGACCCCTGACCATTAGGTCCAGCCGTGACCGACTCTGGGGTTGCAGCGCTCATCTCGCTCTATTGACTGAGGGAGCCAGCGTACAGCTTCCAGGTCATGTGGCCAGCAGGACTAAGCCGCTTCTGGTGAAGCAGAGCAGCGCACGGAAATGCCGTTTACCTTCCCGCTGGAGTGGTACCTATTTATCTACTTGAACTTTGACGTGCTTTCGAACTGCTAGGTGGGCAGGAGCAGGGACCGATCAACGGGAGCTCACCCCTTCACGGGATTCGAACCACCGACCTTCTGATCGGCAAGTCCTAGGCTCTGTGGTTTAGCTGACTCCTAAAAAATGTGGAAATTACACAAACACATATTTGGAAACACATGGATCATATAGCTATACTCATCAGAGTTCTAGGGCATCTTTTGGACAAACTGTATGTTTCAAGGTAGCTGTCCCTATAGAAATATACAGTAAGAAGGGGGGGGGTGTTCTACGCATTACATGAAAACAGAAAACTGCCTTACACTGAATCAGACCACTGGTCCATTTGACTCAGTATTGTTGACTACAGTTTGCAAGTTTTCACACAGAAGTCTTTAAAACCCTACCTGGAGGCACCAAGGAAAGATGGAACCTTAGACCTGCATTGCAAAGCAGGTTCTACCACTAAACTGAGGCCTCCAAGGAGAGTTAAATCTACTTCTCTCCCATCTTGCCACAAACAGTACAGATCCGGCTAGGTGGGTGGAGCTGTGAGGGCGCAATGAGATAGCAGAGTCTAGAGGACTTTGATCATTGCACATGGTGACAGCAGTCACGAAATTAAAAGATGCCTGCTTCTTGGGAGAAAAGCAATGATAAACCTAGACAGCATCTTAAAAAGCAAAGACATCACCTTGCCAACAAAGGTCCGTATAGTTAAAGCTATGGTTTTCCCAGTAGTGATGTATGGAAGTGAAAGCTGGACCATAAAGAAGGCTGATTGCTGAAGAATTGATGCTTTTGAATTCTGGTGCTGGAGGAAACTCTTGAGAGTCCCATGGACTGCAAGAAGATCAAACCTATCCATTCTTAGGGAAATCAGCCCTGAGTGCTCACTGGAAGGAGAGATCCTGAAGCTGAGGCTCCAAGACTTTGGCCACCTCATGAGAAGAGAAGACTCCCTGGAAAAGACCCTGATGCTGGGAAAGATGGAGGGCACAAGGAGAAGGGGACGACAGAGGACGAGATGGTTGGGCAGTGCTCTCGAAGCTACCAGCATGAGTCTGACCAAACTGCGGGAGGCAGTGGAAGACAGAAGTGCCTGGCGTGCTCTGGTCCATGGGGTCACGAAGAGTGTATAGCTCTGGATGTGTATAGCATTAACTCTGGGGACGCGGGTGGCGCTGTGGATTAAACCACGGAGCCTAGAACTTGCTGATCAGAAGGTCAGCAGTTCGAATCCCCACGACGGGGTGAGCTCCCGTTGCTCCATCCCAGCTCCTGCCAACCTAGCAGTTTGAAAGCATGTCAAAGTGCAAGTAGATAAATAGGTACCGCTCTGGCGGGAAGGTAAACAGCGTTTCCGTGTACTGCTCTGGTTCGCCAGAAGCGGCTTAGTCATGCTGGCCACATGATCCGGAAAAACTGTGTGCAGACAAACACCGGCTCCTTCGGCCTATAGAGCAAGATGAGCGCACAACCCCAGAGTCGTCCTACAACTGGACCTAATGGTCAGGGGTACCTTTACCTTTACATATTCAGGACCGTGTCCAGTATTGGCAACACACTGCTACCTGGGTTGTAGAAGGATTAGGATACTGGGTTGCACTCCCTTTTTCTGACATGTGAGCAGCAATTTGGATTGCACTGAAATATGCAGGCCTCCAGCCTTTTAGAGAAGACCAGCTACATGAGCAGTGCTGACAGGTTTCAGTGACAGTGCAATTTTGTTGTGCTGAGGTCTAGTTGTCGTTCATTTTTGCTGGTACAGTGGTACCTCAGGTTAAGTACCTAATTCGTTCCGGAGGTCTGTTCTTAACCTGAAACTGTTCTTAACCTGAAGCACCACTTTAGCTAATGGGGCCTCTTGCTGCCGCCGCGCCGCCAGAGCACGATTTCTGTTCTCATCCTGAAGCAAAGTTCTTAACCTGAGGTAATATTTCTGGGTTAGTGGAGTCTGTAACCTGAAGCATATGTAACCCAAGGTACCACTGTACTGCATGTTCTAGTATTTTCTTCTTTGAGCTGGCTACCTTTCGCTGCTTAGCTTATCTGCTAGATCCCTTTCCAGGAAAAGCTTATGTGTTTGGCACACAGACAATTGGCAAATAGCACCCCAGGAAATGACATTGTTGTGCTTGCTGTGAAATAAGAGAAAGGGCTTCACCCCTGCTACATCACAACACAGTCTATGGTGCAACTACTCTTGAAATACTGCATTCAGCTTGCTCCATTTCATGAACAATATTGTAGAGCGAGAAACGAAAGGGCAAGTCAAATGATCAAGGGCTGGAGCACTCCTCTCCGAGGAATGGCTATGACATTTGAGGAGTTTTTTTGTTTAGAAAAACAATGACTATGATTGATGAATACAAAATCATGATGGGGTGACTTGGTTGAAGGAATTGAGGGGATGCTCATCAAATTTGCAGATGCCACCAAACTGGGAGGGGTAGCTAATGCCCCAGAAGACAGAATCGAGATTCAAAATGCCCTTCACAGACTGGAGAACTGGACCCAAGCTAACAAAATGATTTTCAATAGGGACAAATGTACCGTACTTTTTTGCTCTATAAGATGCACTTTTCCCCTCCGAAAAAGTAAGGGGAAATGTGTGTGCGTCTTATGGAGCGAATGCAGGTGGGAGGATCTGCTCAGCGCTCCCTTTAAAGAGTGCATGGAGCGTGTGTGCGGCTCTTGGGGGCTTTTATCTGAGGAGGGAGAAGGGCTGCCCTCCTCCCTCCTTGGGGAAAAGTCCCCAAGAGCCGTACACATGCTCCGCACGCTCTTTAAAGGGAGCGCGGCTCTTGGGGGAGCCTTCATCCCGCTGCCCTGAAGAGGCTTCGCCCGGCTATCCCAGAAGCCAGAACAGCAAGAGGCTATCCCAGAAGCCAGATCCCTCTTGCTGTTCTGGCTTCTGGGATTCAGAATAATTTTTTTCTTGTTTACCTCCTCCAAAAACTAGGTGTGTCTTATGGTCTGGTGCATCTTATAGAGCGAAAAATACGGTAAGTTTTTGCACTTAGGCAGGAAGAACCAACTGCACAAATATACGATGGGGGACACCTGCAAAAGGGATTGAGGGGTTTTAGTAGACCATAAGCTGAACATGAGTTAGTGCAGCCGCAGCAAAAAATAAAAAAGGTAATGCTATTCTAGACTGCATAAAGTGTCCAGATCAGAGGGAGTAAAAGTACAGTGGTACCTCAGGTTACATACGCTTCAGGTTACATACGCTTCAGGTTACAGACTCCGCTAACCCAGAAATAGTGCTTCAGGTTAAGAACTTTGCTTCAGAATGAGAACAGAAATCGTGCTCCAGTGGCACGGCGGCAGCAGGAGGCCCCATTAGCTAAAGTGGTGCTTCAGGTTAAGAACAGTTTCAGGTTAAGAACGGACCTCCGGAACGAATTAAGTACTTAACCCGAGGTAACACTGTACCACTCTATTCTGAGTGAGACCACACTTGAAATACTGTGTCCAGTTCTGGGCACCACAATTTAAGAAGGATGTTGACAAGCTGGAATGTGTGCAGAGAAGAGGGTGACCAAGATGGTCAAGGTTCTGATAACAAAGCCTTATGAAGAACGGTTGAAGAAGCTGCGTATGTTTTGCCTGGGAAACAGGAAACTGAGAGGAGATATGATAACCATATTCAAATATCTCAATGGCTGTCACATGCAAGAGGGAACATGCTTGTTTCCTCCTGCTCTGGAGGGTAGGACTTGAACCAGTGGCTTCAAATTGCAAGAAAGGAGATTCTGAGTAAACATCAGGGAGAACATTCTGACAGGAAGAGCTGTTCGACAGTGGAATGGTCTTCCTCAGGAGGCTGTGGCCTCTCCTTCCTTGGAGATTTTAAAGCAGAGGTCGGATGGCCATCTGTCATGGATGCTTTAGCTGAGATTCCTGCATTGCTGGGGGTTGGACTAGATGACCCTCGGGGTCCCTTCCAACTCTACAATTCTATTGATTCTACGCAGGGGTGCCAACTTGTGTAAAATACTGGGGGAGGGGGCCAGGTAAGCCCTACCCCACACAATCCATCACTTGACACAGCGCATATGCACCATTTGAATGGCAATGCCTATCAACTTGGGGGTGACGGCCCCCTCAAATATTTTATGGGGAGGACCACAAAGGAACCTTGGCCCCTGCGATGAGACATTTTCCTCCCCTTTTCATAATATTATAAGCAGGCAAGTGGTATCAACTGAAGGGGAAAAAAGGAGGTACATACAGCACACATATTTTGTCACAGGTGGACTTTGGTGATAAGCTATCTTGATCAGCAGGTTCTCCTTATGTTCTTAATTCATTACCACAAGATGTAGCGACATTCATCAACTGGGGCAGCTTTGAACAGGGATTACATAAATTCAAGAAGGGCAAGGTTATCAAGGCCTGAGACATTTGCAAACCACATTATTCGAGGCATTCCATCGTTATAAGGCAACAGCAACAGAATAATACAATTCTAAAACAATAAAATCCTCAGTAACCTAATAATTATACTTATCCCATATCAAGACACAGAAAGGCAAATAGCATCTTCATTCCTTATTATAGGGGCATGGCAAAAACAACCACCCCACAAATAGTTCCAACATTAGAAGCCTCAATATTATGCTGCTTAAAAAAATATACCTGTTGACCTAAAAACTTGAATCTTGGCTTTCATGGTTTACAAATGTGTCAATTTTCGGCCCAATCCAATAAAAATTTCCAAAGGTACAGCATGTTAAAACAGATACTTACTCTTTTTATTTCAATTTTTAAATGGGGATTTCTGATTTTGGTGAAAACTACTGTTGAGGTACTTTCCTCATGCTTGTTAAGAAATGCATGTTTTCATTGGTTTAGAGACGTTTTGAGCAGCGGTTCAAATGTCAAGGTTTTGATGCCCCGTTATAACCCAGGGGAGCAGCAATGTTTGCTGCAAAGGCCACCTGGTGGAAGCTGTGTGTAATCCTATTCCTTTAGCTTACTTTATCATAGAATTGTAGGGTGAGAAGAGACCTAGTCCCACCTCTGTTGAATAAACACCAGAAAAGGAGAATCCACTACCTTCCGTGGGAGTCTGTTTCACTGTTGAACCGCTCTGGTCACCGGAAAGTTCTAAAGTTTAGCATGCCTGCTTGAAGGAGGCAGTAGTGAAACCAGTCCTTAAGAAAGCCTCCCTGGACTCAGAAATCTAAGTAACTGTGGTCTAAACCACAGAGCCCAGGGCTTGCCGATCAGAAGGTTGGAGGCTCGAATCCCTGCAACGGGGCGAGCTCCCGTTGCTCGGTCCCTGCTCCTGCCAACCTAGCAGTTCGAAAGCACGTCAAAGTGCAAGTAGATAAATAGGTACCGCTCCGGCGGGAAGATAAACGGCGTTTCCGTGCGCTGCTCTGGTTCGCCAGAAGCAGCTTAGTCATGCTGGCCAGATGAGCTGGAAGCTGTCTGCGGACAAACGCCGGCTCCCTCGGCCTATAGAGATGAGCGCCGCAACCCCAGAGTCATCCGCAACTGGACCTAACGGTCAGGGGTACCTTTACCTTTACCAGCCAGTTGCAAATCGCCCCTTCTTGGGCAAATTTCTTGAGTCATGGATCAGATCCAGGCACTGGAGGAATCTGATTTTGCAGATCCATTTCAATCACGGTTTAGGCCCCTGATTTGGCACAGAAATGTGTCCTTGTTAATTTCCCACAACCTTTCAGCAACTTTCACGCTGGTTATCCTTCTGGAGCAGCTGGTCCTCCTTGGAAGGTCATTTCCAGAAGGCGATGCATGGGGAGTGTTCTTTGGCCCCATGGAGCCTTCAATGTGGGATTCCTTGGGGCTCAATTTTACCCCCTATACTATTTAACATCTACATGAAACCACTGAGCGAGGCTAGCCAGAGTTTTGGAGGATCTGGGGGTTTTCAGTACACCACAAGCTTAACATGAGCCAACAGTGTGATGCAGCAGCAAAAAAAGCGAACACTATTCTAGGCTGCAGCTTAGGAACCACAGCATCCTAAGTGCTCACAGACTGACCGTTTAATTATCTGCCCTAGTACCTTTCCTGGTATCAACGCCAAGCTGAATGGTCGGCAACAGCTGTACCCGGCAGTGTTTTTGGTGCGCTACCAGCACCGAAGTGATCTCCCCAGGGTGCAAACCTGGGCAGTGTTTCTGGAGGTCCTGGGATGCCCAGACGACAAGACTCCCCCCAACCCAACTCACTGATGTGGTCCAAAGTAAATCAACAATACACTTTGGCACCAGCTTGTACGTCTGCAGGAGTTACAGGGAGGAGTGCAAAGCACTGTCCAACTGTCCTAGGGACTCCACTCTGGACTTGTGTAGGGTTTGATCTTTAGCCTTTTCTTCTCTGAAAGGTATCCCACAAGGCGACAGAAGTTTAGGACCAGTTTTCCTTCTCCTAGATGTCTACCTTCCCAGGTTGACGAGCCCCATCTGCTCCTCCCTTCCACTAACAGCACATAGACTCATGTAGAAACCACCTTGACCATTGGATCCACTATTAGTCCCGGGTTCAAGACCCATCGGCTACCCTCACCTGGTTTAGCCAGCCAGCTGAAGCTCTTTCATTTCATTTCACTTTTAATTCGTATATAGTGGTACCTCAGGTTACAGACGCTTCAGGTTACAGACTCCGCTAACCCAGAAATAGTACCTTGGGTTAAGAATTTTGCTTCAGGATGAGAATAGAAATTGCGCAGCAGCAGCGGGAGGCCTCATTAGCTAAAGTGGTACCTCAGGTTAAGAACAGTTTCAGGTTAAAAACAGACCTGCAGAATGAATTAAGTTCTTAACCCGAGGTACCACTGTACCGTCTTTCTATATTACTGTACACAAGGCGGTTGTGTAAAGCTGAAGAAACAACAAAGATCCCACACACCACACAATCTGATCCAATACAAAAATGCCATAATAAAAAAACCTTTAAAATAAACATATCTAAAAAAATGTAATATTAAATAATCCATTAGATTATATTAGTACACAATAAAATTAAATATCAGCAAACATTAAACAGAAATTCACTCTTAACAATTACAATAAATAATTTCCAAACTAGAATCCATAAAAATAACAGCAAGTGCATAAAATAATGCAATACAAATTGAGAAGCAAAGACACACAACTTATAAAATTATTTTTTAAAAATACCCCTGACCTCCTCCTCTCTTCCCAGCTGCTCCTGCTGTTCCTAATGTCATGGTGTGGGAAAGGCCCCTAGGGCTGGAGGGTGGCGCAAGGCATGTGGGAAAAGCCATTGCCTGATGAACAGCACAAAGTCTCTCTCCCCTCGCAGTGCTTCCTCTAAAAACAGCCGCTTCCTTATCGAGGCTCCATAGATTGCCATTTCTTCCAATTTAGTGGTAAACATCACGTTTTCCGGGGGGGGGGGAATACCGTATTTTTCGCTCTATAAGACGCACCAGACCACATGACGCACCTAGTTTTTGGAGGAGGAAAACAACAACAAAAAAATCTGAATCTCAGAAGCCAGAACAGCAAGAGGGATTGCTACGCAGTGAAAGCAGCAATCCCTCTTGCTGTTCTGGCTTCTGGGATAGCTGCGCAGCCTGCATTCGCTCCATAAGACGCGCACACATTTCCCCTTACTTTTTAGGAGGGAAAAAGTGAGTCTTATAAAGCAAAAAATACGGTAATCCATAGGGCAAATGCAAAACCGCTCAGACCTGTGCCTAGAAAGTACGAGGCAAGTGGAAAACCTCTTGGGTTCCTGCTTTCCATGCATGTGGGCACGCCCCAAGTATAACACAGAGAAGTGTCCCAGATATCATTGAATTCAGTGGGACTCGATGTTGGTTCACCTGGCTACATCGCCCACACAACAGTGCATTAAATATGGGGCTGGGGCTGGGGTGGGAGAGCTGAAAATAATGTAACACTCAAGCCCAGAAGAGACAGCTTATCTATAATTTTTTCTTTAGTGACAGCGTGAATCATGAGATGGGATGCTGTTAAATTGAGTAAGGGGGGAATGCAGATTTTACGGCTGTTATTTTCAGGGGTGGACTAAATGACCCTTGGGGTCCCTTCCAACTCTTCAATTCTATGATTCTATAGGTAAAGGTACCCCTGCCCGTACGGGCCAGTCTTGCCAGACTCTGGGGTTGTGCACTCAAGATGCCGGGGGCCAGCGCTGTCCGTAGACACTTCCGGGTCACGTGGCCAGCATGACATCGCTGCTCTGGCGAGCCAGAGCCGCACACGGAAACGCCGTTTACCTTCCCGCTAGAAAGCGGTCCCTATTTATCTACTTGCACCCGGGGGTGCTTTTGAACTGCTAGGTTGGCAGGCGCTGGGACCGAACAACGGGGGCGCACCCCGCCGCGGGGATTCGAACCGCCGACCTTTCGATCAGCAAGCCCTAGGCACTGAGGCCCACAGCGCCACCCGCGTCACATATATATATATATATATATATATGCTTTCGTAGATTTTCACGGGTACAGGAATGCAGGTTTTGGTGTCCTCGGGTGTCTTCCCGTGTAAAAGTTGGGGTGTCTAGGCGACGTTTCGACGAGGTCTCACTCGTCATCTTCAGGCTGGTGCTTTCGGCTTCTTGTTACTGGAACAGAGCAGGATCTCAGTGTTTGAGTTCCTATAAATACTGTTGAGGAGGTGTGGTGTATAGCCTCCAATGTTCTGGGCAGAGAGGAAGTTCCCAGGCTAGTGTGCCTTTTCTTCTTTTGTTCCTTAATTACTTGAGGGATATCTGGAGTGATTTCTTGAGTGATATCCTGAGTACCACTTGGGTGGGTCATTAGGTGTGGATTAGTTGCTAAAGCCTTCGTGTCTTGACCTCTTGAACTTGGCTTGAACTTGGCTCTGGCTTGGCTTCGTGTATAGGGGCGAGCTGTGGTTTTGTGGCCTGTGCCAGCCAGATCTGTGTAGGGATTGCAGGGGGTGCAGCATCCGGAGGTGCCACCATGGTTTGGCTACTGGATGGTGTCTGTAATTTATCTGTGGAGAGGGTCTGGGTTTGGGTCTGGTGTGGTTGATTGGTGATGGCGTTCTGTGTGCCTCTGGATCTGGTGTCGGTTTTTGTGGGGAGGGCTAATTTCCAGATGTCTGGCAAGCGGGATGTGTCGTCACGCTTGTTCATGTTGTGAGGGTGTTTCTCTATCTCGATGGCTTCCATGATTATTCTCTTGTGGTGATGTTCCATGTTAAAGAGCAATTTGGAATCTGCAAAATTAATTTCGTGTCCTGTTTCTTTCATGTGTTGGAAAAGAGAGGAAGTTTTTCCTCTTTTTTGACGGCATTCTTGTGTTCTGCGATACGTGCATTTATTCGTCTGTTTGTTTGTCCAATGTACGTGGCTGGGCAGACTTTGTCCAATGTACGTGGCTGGGCAGACTTCAAGGGCACTACAGATAAAATTAGCAAAATCCTCCATAAACACAATATCAAAACAGCCTTTTGCACCAACCAAAAAATAGCCAATATCCTCAGAAACCCCAAGGATAGAATCCAGTTGGAAAACCAAGGGGTCTATGAAATACCCTGCAAAGTCTGCCCAGCCACGTACATTGGACAAACAAACAGACGAATAAATGCACGTATCGCAGAACACAAGAATGCCGTCAAAAAAGAGGAAAAAACTTCCTCTCTTTTCCAACACATGAAAGAAACAGGACACGAAATTAATTTTGCAGATTCCAAATTGCTCTTTAACATGGAACATCACCACAAGAGAATAATCATGGAAGCCATCGAGATAGAGAAACACCCTCACAACATGAACAAGCGTGACGACACATCCCGCTTGCCAGACATCTGGAAATTAGCCCTCCCCACAAAAACCGACACCAGATCCAGAGGCACACAGAACGCCATCACCAATCAACCACACCAGACCCAAACCCAGACCCTCTCCACAGATAAATTACAGACACCATCCAGTAGCCAAACCATGGTGGCACCTCCGGATGCTGCACCCCCCTGCAATCCCTACACAGATCTGGCTGGCACAGGCCACAAAACCACAGCTCGCCCCTATACACGAAGCCAAGCCAGAGCCAAGTTCAAGCCAAGTTCAAGAGGTCAAGACACGAAGGCTTTAGCAACTAATCCACACCTAATGACCCACCCAAGTGGTACTCAGGATATCACTCAAGAAATCACTCCAGATATCCCTCAAGTAATTAAGGAACAAAAGAAGAAAAGGCACACTAGCCTGGGAACTTCCTCTCTGCCCAGAACATTGGAGGCTATACACCACACCTCCTCAACAGTATTTATAGGAACTCAAACACTGAGATCCTGCTCTGTTCCAGTAACAAGAAGCCGAAAGCACCAGCCTGAAGATGACGAGTGAGACCTCGTCGAAACGTCGCCTAGACACCCCAACTTTTACACGGGAAGACACCCGAGGACACCAAAACCTGCATATATATATATATATATATATATATATGCTTTCGTAGATTTTCACGGGTACAGGAATGCAGGTTTTGGTGTCCTCGGGTGTCTTCCCGTGTAAAAGTTGGGGTGTCTAGGCGACGTTTCGACGAGGTCTCACTCGTCATCTTCAGGCTGGTGCTTTCGGCTTCTTGTTACTGGAACAGAGCAGGATCTCAGTGTTTGAGTTCCTATAAATACTGTTGAGGGGGTGTGTGCCCAGAACATTGGAGGCTATACACCACACCCCCTCAACAGTATTTATAGGAACTCAAACACTGAGATCCTGCTCTGTTCCAGTAACAAGAAGCCGAAAGCACCAGCCTGAAGATGACGAGTGAGACCTCGTCGAAACGTCGCCTAGACACCCCAACTTTTACACGGGAAGACACCCGAGGACACCAAAACCTGCATATATATATATATATATATATATATATATATATATATATATATATATATATATATATTTGGGGGGTTAAACCTGATCTATATTTTGCTTTAGGAGGCTTAGTTTGGTCAGAATCGAGTATACACGCCCAGAGTCAATGCTAAATACATTGCTTCTGGTAAATGAGCCACCACAGCCGCTAGAGGGTCGTGAACATTTGTGCCCTGGGCTTTTTAAACCATGAACTATCTGAAACCAAAGGGGCGCATGGGTTGCCAGGTGTGAATTTCCCCCCAGCTCTCCCACTCCACTATAGAGTTCAGACACAGGGTAGAGCCCTTGTTACATGACCCTTGGTTCATGTTGTCATGTACCCATTTGCATATTCCTGTGCGAATGTAGGCTTTTGGTTTTACTGAGACTGGAACAAGATGCTACCACAAATATTTGGTCTGACGATTAGCTCTACCCCATACTGCCTACCATCCCCTTGGACTTGTGCCCCCGTTCCACTTCAGTGGCTGTAGTAATAATAGTAATAAGAATAATAATAATAATAATAATAATAATAATAATAATAATAATAATAATAATAATAATTTATTTATACACCACCCATCTGGCAGGGTTTCCCAGCCCCTCTGGGCAGCTTCCAACAGAATATTAAAAACACAATAAAACATCAAATATTAAAAGCTTCCCTAAACAGGCCTGCCTTCAGATGTCTTCTAAAAGTCATATAGTTGTCTATTTCCTTGACATCTGATGGGAGGGTGTTCCACAGGGCGGGCGCCACCACCGACAAGGCCCTCTGCCTGGTTCCCTGTAGCTTTGCTTCTTGCAATGCGGGAACCGCCAGAAGGCCCTTGGCGTGGATCTCAGTGTCCAGGCAGAACGATGGGGGTGGAGATGCTCCTTCAGGTATACTGGGCTGAGACTGTTTAGGGCTTTAAAGGTCAGCACCAACACTTTGAACTGGTGGCTGTAGGAAAGCTGCAGGATTTATAACATGCCAAACCTAATTCGCATTTTATAAAATGTCCATTTGGATATGAGCAGTATATCTCACTTTTAGCCACAACAGCTGATCATCTTATCACAGGGATAAATTTAAGTTAGATGTTTCAATCCTACTGAAGAACCACCCAGCTCTGCCGGTTACTTGAATTTTATGAAACAGCCAATTTTGACAGGTGACGGATTGTGAAGCAAGCAAGCTGAACCAATTGTTGCCCTGATATTTTCAATTCCTATTTGGCCCAAGTTCCAAGACTAATGCCATATGTAATGTAGCACGATCAATAACAGTGCTTATGAAGGATCTGAAATTTAAATGATCTGAAATTTGAAGTTAGTCAAGCTTTATACTTCCATTCTGCCAAACACTTATCCACGAAGTAAGTTTTATTTTCTTTAGCAAACAAATTAAATACTGCCACTCAGCTCAGTCAGCTGAACTCTATTAAATATTCTGGATAGATCTGGTTGGCATCAAAGATGACAAAAATCCTTGGGTTCCAGGTGCTGTCTACACAGCTGTCATATAAATTCACAAAGCTCCCGTCTTTTGAAGGTGGTCTCACGTATTTGGAGTCCCCACTGACATAGTCCCCCGTCAATACACGAGCGAGAAACATCACTTTATGCTTCCAAAACATCTGAAGTTGCAGGTCAACTCCATGAATCTGTAACGTGCTGCCATGCTTCAAGTCATCTTTGCAGAAGCGGCTGGAATATAAAGCATCCCTTGCAAAATACGTCCCTACAGAAAGAGAAAAGTTCTTGAGCATAGTCTAGAAATACAGTCATCCTACTTACTGAAGCCTGAGGGTGGAACCACACATGATCAGAGACATGGGATTGCAGCCAAAAATGGCAACCATGTCAAATCCTCACTTCTATCGCCTAAAACAGGGGTCAGCAAACGTTTTTAGCAGGGGGCTGGTCCACTGTCCCTCAGACCTTGTGGGGGGCCGGACTATATTTTGGGGGGGGGAAATGATGCAAGAGCACCACGAACCTCGGTGGCTGCTTACCTGTGTCTTGCGAGTGGCAGGGGCTGGCGGCAGCGGCAGAGGGATGATGAGCAGTGCGCAAAAGGGCTCCGGAGAGGGGCTGCTTAAAATGGCAGCCACTCGAGTGCTGCTGCTGGTGGCACCAACAAAGCCCAGCCCCCTTCCTCCTCTAGGCAGGGTGGGTAGAAGCCAGGAGGAGGGAGGAAGGAGGCGCCGCCACCGTGTGAGGGAGAGGGAGGGAGAGGGAAAGAACGCACGCACTGGCGATCCACGCGGCGATTCCCAGACTGTCCATGGGTCGGATCCAGAAGGCAATTGGGCCTGATCTGGCCCGCGGCCCTTAGTTTGCCTACCCATGGCCTAAAACATGTATCAATGGAAACACAGGATAAAATATAATGATGTCACACACTTCCTGACCCGCACCACTGGATAGCAGCTGGAAGTGGAAGCAGTATATGCACCACCTGCGCAGCGATTGGTTGCTGGGACCATGTGGAAAGCTTCCAGAGAAATCCAGATCGTGAAGCGCCAATTCCAGTCCTTGCTTACTTTTCCTTGGAACATCACTCACTCAAGGACTAGTGGGTGTGCTTGGGAACTTGTTGGTGATTTGCCGCGGGTCTAATTTCTGGGATTAGCTCTAATTTATGGCTCTCAATTCTGACCCTTAGCAAGACTTTTTTTCAGATTAATTAAGAGATGCTCACAAGGGCAGCATGGAACTACTTTGTAGTAAAACATTTAACTAGGAGAAAGCTGCAAGAACATAATATGTATGAAAACCCATAAAAGACAGCTCATGTAGCCCCTTGCCTTTTCCATATACAGCAGCATGCATGCCATTGATTCTCCAGTCAAAGTTATGAATGCAGATAGCTTCCACGAATTCACTACTGGTGCCATGAAACAGCATATGTTCATTAATGAAGGAGACACCTCTTTTCTTCTTTAGCTGAGCCTTTTTCCTGTCAAAAGGACAAAATAACAAACAATTTGTAATGGAAATACGGTACTAGAATAAAAATGTGAGCAAAGCAAAAGCCAAGGTCGGAAAGCCATTGCCATCTCACAGTTGAAGAGGTAGTAAATTCCTTTAAAAAATAGACTGCAGACTGCAGGTAGGAGACTGCACTTGTGAACGCAGGGAGAGGCCTAGACCAGATCACTGATAAACTAGTCTTCTACTTGCAGAAATGTTTTGTGGCTTTTTTAGTTACACAAGGTAACATTTCAAAAATAATATTCTCCATACACCAGCTGTATGAACTAATACAGTCCTTTCTACCACACAATCGCACACATTAGAAATTTGATATTTTATAAATCAGAGCCCTAAATAAATTTAAAAAAACAACACTGGGATATCACTATAACTCATCATGCAAAAACCATTAACGGATCTACTGCTAGCAAATATTGTTGGTGCTAACCTATAAAATAGTTTCGGCGCAACCATTGGAGACCAATGAATTCCCTGTTGTGGGGTTCTTGGCTGAGAAATCATTATGCAAAACAAATAGCAGATCTTTGCTTAATGTATTTCTGTAAGTATCTGCATACAGCTAGGAAACTAATGATAAAAAAGGTGATTAAAAAGGCCCCAAAATGGCAATTTCTAAAACATTTTACAGGCATGTAAGCAGACACTTGCCCAGCTGCCCGTGGTAAGACATGTTCTAGATAACCAAAGGGAGGCTTCAAAAAAGTTGTTGTTGTTTCCTCTGGCAGGTAGGCTACTTAAGTTATGCCAGTCTAATTGAATGGATGAGTAAACCATACTGGTTTCGACAAGGTTTCTGCTGCCAGAGCACTTTATGAATTAGCACATTAATGACATGGATATATTTTGGCATGGAAATACAAAACAGATCAAGGGAACATCAGGATGAGTCAATGTTATGTAAAAAGATCATGCAAAGAACATTTCAAGTGGCATTTCTGTGATGAAGAAAACGTGCAGACTGGTCCAGTTTTTTAAATACTGCCTTCAACTCCTGCAACCTTGAACAACAATATCTGGGGACTTTGAATTGAAATGTGACATTTGAGCAGGCCAATTCAAGTCACCTAAATAATTGAATTTGTTTGTTACTTATGCGATGGATTTTTGTGTTTTTATACTGCAAACTGCCCTCTGATCCTCAGATGAAGAGCGGTAAAGAATTTTTAAAACAACAACCACCAAAACTTGTAGAGTCAACTGCCAGGACCACAATAACAATGTTGTCTTTTAATTAAAACCTTACCAGGGTGAGCTAGTAGGAGATATGGGCTGACACTGGCCATTTATGTAGTTTGGGGCCCAGTGCACAATGTATTAAAAGAGAAAAGAATGAAAGACATGCACTGCAAGGCAGATAAAGACAGGTCTGATTAAGAATGAACGAAAGGAAACATGAATTTTAAGCTTGAAATTAAGTCAGTGTAAATACTGAAATGATCTGTCTTTAAAAGAGATGCTATTTAGCACAAAAACCACTTTAAAAATAGACTCACCTGCAAAAGAATTCCCACAGGTCTAGATTCTGAATTCTCTGAATTCTTCTAATCCGATTACTATCCATTGTTTTCCCAAACTGACCAGCAACCTCCTTATATTCATTTGTCAGCTTATGCAAAGTAATTAGCTGAAGGAGAGAGAAACATGGAACTTTACCCAGATGCATTAAGTCCTTTGCTTCTAACGTTTTCAAAATAACCTACTAAGATCTTACCTGGTATGGCTCTTCTGAATTTACATTCTCCCAGTGTGAAGGCATGGGGATAGACTGGTTTTCACAGATGAAACTTTAAGCACAAAAGGAGTAGTCAGTACGCTGTCACATCCCCCACTCAAGACAGAAATACTACACAAAATGCAAAATGTACATTTACAAAAATGTAGAGGATTGGAAAGAGTTTTAGTTTCCTCTTTGGATTTTGTTTTTGAACAATAAGGGCAGAATAAAAAGAAAATAATCAGTCAATCAGGTGCTTTAATGATTTGCTGAATTAGAACCTAAGGTTTTAGATGTGCCTATTTAGTTATGTTTTCTCCAATTTTCCTACAAGGGGCAGAGGTTACTTAACTTATTCCCACTTCTTTGTCCTAGGGAGAACTTAGAACACTAAGAAAATGTAAAAGGTCACCTGAAGAGGAAATGATCTTAGATTATTTTTAAAAATCGGTTCTGGAAAGGTTAGGAACACAGGAAGCTGCCTTAAACCTAGTGATACCACTGGTCCATCTAGTTCAGTGCTGCTCTTTCCCTTGAAGTAATTAAGTCTGATTCACCTGTCCATTCCTTTTTCCTTATTGAATATCTTACTTGTTTAGATGATCAAGAAGTTAATCAAAGGAGGAAGAGAGATGAAAACAAGGAAATAAATAATGTACTTTGCAAAGCTACTATTCAATGAGGCTTGAACAAAATAACTTTTGCTCGGCGGACTGCAAGAAAGCTCATTCAAAACTGAATGTTTTCAGGGATGCAAAGTTAAAAAGAAAAAAAGAGAAATGAAGCAAATATAGGGCTGGTGTATAAGTTGCATCAGACATTGCAAAATGGCTACGATAATTTGTTTCCACAATGTCTGAGGTGCACACTGTGAATATAGTTTCATCTGTCTTTTGCATTTTAATATACTCAAGGTAGGGGGAAGACTATCAGCATTAACCTAAAACAGGCTTCCTCAACCTCGGCCCTCCAGATGTTGAGACTACAATTCCCATCATCTCTGACCACTGGTCCTGCTAGCTAGGGATCATGGGAGTTGTAGGCCAAAAAACGTCTGGAGGGCCAAGGTTGAGGAAGCCTGACCTAACACTAAAACATTTAAAGAAAGAAAGAACTATGTCACAAGGAAAATGTGAGTGACTGTTACCTGAAGGCAGTGATAGAAAATGGAGCTCTTTTTATGGGACGTTCTTTTCCAGTTGTTTGGTTAGTTTGTTTCATCCCTGTGTAAAAAACCAGAGTTAGCCAAAATCTAAATCAGCCTGCCACACGCTGGTGCCCTCCAGATCAGGAGTAATGAGAGTTTTAGTCCCAATTTTTGGAGAGCACCAGGTTGGGAAAAGCTGGTCTAGAAAATGGACAGACAGAATTTTGTCGAGCACTTTTTTCAGTGTTCTTCCATGGGAATTTTAGTTAACAGCACATAAAAGTGCACCAATGATCAGTTCACAAGCCAATCAAAATCTATTGTAGGTAAATTGATTTGATCTGTTTAAATATAGCTCTTGCCATTTCTGACAAGCTTTAAGGAAACACACACTGGGGGCGGGGGGACGACTTTCCCTTTTGTTAGTATCCTGCTCTCACTCCTGATTCACACTATATTTATACTGAGTTACTGCATTCTATCCTATCTTGTCTTCAAGACCTCTAGGCAGGAAACATAGGGCAGCTCACAGAATAAGCCATACCAAATGCTAAGGTAAAAGGTAAAGGGTAAAGGGACCCCTGACGTGGCCGACTCTGGGGTTGCGGCACTCATCTCGCTTTACTGGCCGAGGGAGCCGGCATTCAGCTTCCGGGTCATGTGGCCAGCATGACTAAGCTGCTTCTGGGGATCCAGAGCAGCGCACGGAAACGCCGTTTACCTTCCCGCTGGAGCGGTACCTATTTATCTACTTGCACTTTGACGTGCTTTTGAACTGCTAGGTTGGCAGGAGCAGGGACCAAGCAATGGGAGCTCACCCCGTCACGGGGATTCGAACTGCTGACCTTCTGATCAGCAAGTCCTAGGCTCTGTGGTTTAACCCACAGCGCTACCCGCGTCCCAATGCTAAGGTACTGTGAACTTAATAAGGGTGTAAGAATAAGTTAAACTTGTGTTTTAAAATGTCGTAAACCACTGATAATGTGATAAAAAAGTCTCCCAGGCAATAACCCATACAAATGTGTTTATCTTCAGCATAGTCACTGCATCATATGCCTTACTACAAGTAAAAGTTCTCTGTTAATTATTCACCCACGCAATCAGAAAACTTCCCAATTACAACATAGGGTATTTCCCCTGGCTTATAAACGTCTTATACCTTCTCAGTAAATAGATATACATACCTGAAAAGTCCAGCACATAGTCGAATTTTGCAGTTGTAAAAGAAATGGAACCTTGTGGATTAATTTTGAACATCCCTTCAATGTCTTCACTGCTAAGTGAACACTGGCTAGTAGAATCAGTCTTCAAAACAAATGAAAAGCACACCTTTAAAGTGACCCAATAATCAGTAGCACATAAACAGCATTTTAGAGTGAATTTTAGAAGAATTTAGGAGAATAGATACAACGGTGCCTCAGTAGTTTTAATACTTTCAGCTACAAGATTCTGTAAATGTTGGAAGTACAGAAGAACTGCCAAAGTTCTCATTTAAATTCTAGAACATTCTTTGAGATTTTGCATTCATGTCATCTTACACCTAATAAAGCCAGCATAATTAATTCTGCAAAAGCTGTAGGCTGGGGGTCTCCTTCAACCTTTATTATTAATCGGAACAATGTCCTTGTTTTGAACTGCAATACTACACACAACTGGATGTGAGTAAGCACCACTGAAGTCAAAGGAATTGATTTATCCACTATCACAAAATCAGTTATTGCAAATAACTGGCATTCTGCAAAATTTCCTACAACAAAAGAATTGATAAAGAAAGCATGGCAATAAGCAAAGCTATCTAAATTAAGTGAAGAAAGAGTAAACAATATAATGTAAAAGGTTGCTAAGAAGAAGAAGAAGAAGAAGAAGAAGAAGAAGAAGAAGAAGAAGAAGAAGAAGGAGTTTGGATTTGATATCCCGCTTTATCACTACCCGAAGGAGTCTCAAAGCGGCTAACATTCTCCTTTCCCTTCCTCCCCCACAACAAACACTCTGTGAGATGAGTGGGGCTGAGAGACTTCAAAGAAGTGTGACTGACCCAAGGTCACCCAGCAGCTGCATGTGGAGGAGCGGAGACGTGAAGAACTGGCAATCAGTTATCTGATTTTTGTAAACCAAAATATGGTATTGAAATTAACACCTAAAACTGTTTTCTAATTGTGCATATATTTGTATTTGTATAAAAGTTGATCCCTCTGATACTTCCAGCAGAGCACGTTGTTGTCCATTCATGTATTTTAATATAAAATTTATAAAATATACTATGACTTGCAAGAGATTCTTAGCCTCACTTTTCCCATCTGTGAAATGAAAACAACAACCTACTTTGCAGAGTGCGAGGACAGGAAAACAGAATGTTGAATAGGGTGGGCTATCTACATAAATGACTACCTCAAACATATGCCACTTGCCACATTCAGCCAAGTAAAACCAACCCCACTGGGTATCCGACGTGTCCATTTCTTCGAGGGGGTCTGCCATATCCTGAGAGAGCTCATCTGCCCCCTGAGACATCTCTTGAAGCGGTCCAGACATTTCCTGAAAGAATCAGAGCAATCGCACGAGTGAAATTCTGGTTTCGCTGGCTTGCAATTCTTGAGGGTGGGTGGGGGAAACATTTCCAAAGTTAAAAACCGATGCAGAGTTCTTACAGATCCTCATAGAGGACTGGAATCACAGGGGAAAGCCCTTTAAGGACACTCCGGGTGGTGTCCTGTCAACCTCCTAATCCCAACACCTTGTTCTGCAATTTCACCTGCAGACATCCACGGGGGCGCATCCTGGGAGGAACAAGTGGTACCCCAAGTCACCTGGGAAGCATCGGAGCCGGCTCTTTGGGGGGGGATTCCCTTGCCTCCCCCCACCCCAAATAAAATATTTGAAGGGGGCCGGATTCCCTTCCAAAAGTTGAGGGGGCACTGCGTGTGCCACGCCTGGTGATCGATCAGGCTTACCTGCCCCCTCAATAGTCCAAGTTGCCCCCCCCTGCTCGGAAGGCGCCTCTTCGACGCTAAACCCCCAGCCCCCCGGGGAGGGCGCCCCGCTGCTCGGGCCTTTTCAGCGGCGGCGGCGGTGCCCTAGAGCATGTGCAGAGCGCCGGTTCCTCCCCCGCCCAGGGAGCCGGGGAGGCGCCTTGAGGAAAGAGGCCGCGCAAGCGGGCGGGGAGAGCGGGATCCCCACCGGCTTCTCCTCACGCCGAACCGGCAGCTCCGGGGAAACGGGGCCGTTTGTTTACATGCGACGCAGAAGAGCCACCTGGCGGCCGCTCCTCCTTCGCCCCCTCAGGCGGTGCTTCCCTTCTTCAGGCAGGGGGCGGGGCGGGGGGCGGGGCTTGCCCCGCCTGACGGACGCGCGCCCCGCCCCCTCTTCCCCGCCGCTTCCGCCCTCTCCCGCCCGCCCCTTCCGCCGCCTCTCAGCTGTCAGAGCCATAGCTGTCAATTTACAGATTTGGAAATAAGGGACCAGCAGCCTGGAAAAGAAGGGACCAGCAGCCAAAATAAGGGATTTTGTCTTAGCTTATGCACTGATGGAGCCAGGCTGCTTTGGCTACCACTGACTGTGTTTTGCAGGGGGTTGGACTAGATGATCCTAAGGGTCTACAACTCCCACGAAGAAGAGGGGCAGACAAAACTGATGGCAAAGCTTACAGGCAGAATTAGAAACCAGGAAGAGGACCTCTTTAATAAAGAACGGGGAAAGTTTATAATTTAGTTGAAAAGCTATTGTCAAGAGTTACATACAGTGGTGCCTCGCAAGACGAATGCCTCGCAAGACGGAAAACTCGCAAGACGAAAGGGTTTTTTGTTTTTTGAGCTGCTTCGCAAGACGATTTTCCCTATGGGCTTGCTTCGCAAGACGGAAACGTCTTGCAAGTTTGTTTCCTTTTTCTTAACACCGTTAATACAGTTGCGACTTGACTTCGAGGAGCAACTCATAGAACGCGGTGTGGTAGCCTTTTTTGAGGTTTTTGAAGACTTTGGTGATTTTTGAAGCTTTTCCAAAACTTTCCCGACACCGTGCTTCGCAAGACGAAAAAAATCGCAAGACGACAAAACTCACGGAACGAATTAATTTCGTCTTGCGAGGCACCACTGTACGTTGGTAAGATTGACAGAAAACTTGTAGTAAAAATGTGAACTGTGGATGGACAAATGATTTATAAAAATAGAGTTATGAAAGGGATGCAGAGGGGGAAATCACTACATTAAGATGCTGCACTGGTTGGAGGGGATGCTAAGCAGCACGTCGGGGCTGCTGTCGTCCTGGCGCGAGGAGTTCCATCGGCTATTCCCTGCCTGAGAGAGGGGGGGAGACTCTCACCCACGCCACCCGTGAGCCCTGCATGAGGCGGTTGCGGCGCCACGGCGGCCGCTGAAGTGCCGCCCTTCTGCGTCCCTCCCCCTCCCCCTTCCTCAGGCTGCCTCCTCAGCCGCCACTCCAGCTTCCCCTGGTAGCGCGGTGGAAGTCTCGCAAGAGAGGGGCTGCCTGCCTGCCCGCCGCCACCTGTCTCCTCACGACATGCCCCTGAAGGGGAAAAGGGAGAGATGGAGACGCAGCAGCTTGTGCGCGCTCTGTCTCTCACGGCAGAGGACCCCGAGCCGCTGCTTCCCTCCCGAGCCGGCGAGCATGAAACCCGGGAAATTTAAGGGACATCATCAATAAGGGACAGCAGCGGGACACGGCGCTGGGATAAGGGAGTTTCCTGCCAAATAAGGGACAGTTGGCAGCTATGGTCAGAGCCTGCGAAGCCACAACACCGAGCAGTGGTAGAGTGACTCACCTGCGAGGAAATGCGAGATCGCTTTCACGCTTTTTTGGCGCTCCGGAGCCACCGCCCTGTTGCTTTTCCTGCTGTGCCTTCGAAGGGCACTGTCGCCTGCGTACTGCCGCTGCTGCCTCCGCTCCACACGCCGGGCCTGTTGTGTGCTGCTGCTGCCTAAGGCCCAGGCGGCAGGACCATTTCCCGCACCAGTCACGGTTGTGAAGATGCCACGTGGCGCTTTTATGCGTTTCTCTCTCTCCTCCCCCCGCAACATCTGGCCAGTCATTTGCCGCGCAAAGCGGGCCATGCGGCGGCTGCCGCTAGCGGAGGAGAAGGGCAGACCTGGTGCCAGGAGGAGAGCGGGAAAGGCTGCGATCCCGAGAATGCTGCAGGCAGAGGGGAGCAGAAAGCACTTTCTTGGGTCACCACTCCGCTGCACCATGTTCAACAGGTCTGTGAATGAAACAGGCAGTGCCGAGTTTACGTATAAGCTAAACAGGCTATAGCTTAGCCCCCCCCCCAATTCAAAGCAGAGATCTATGTACATTTCTAAAATATAAGAAAAAAAACAAATAAAATAAAACCTACATACAGAAGCAGTGTTTTGTGTCGCGTAGGCTCCTATGATGTAAGTCATATGCCTAGCCTGCTCCCTAAAATATCACTGGTTTGCTCATTTCTATATATAGGGTGCCCTAAACGGCCTCGGCCCAGTATACCTGAAGGAGCGTCTCCACCCCCATCGTTCTGCCCGGACGCTGAGGTCCAGCGCCGAGGGCCTTCTGGCGGTTCCCTCATTGCGAGAAGTGAGGTTACAGGGAACCAGGCAGAGGGCCTTCTCGGTAGTGGCGCCCGCCCTGTGGAACGCCCTGCCAGCAGATGTCAAAGAGATAAACAACTACCTGACATTCAGAAGACATCTTAAGGCAGCCCTGTTCAGGGAAGTTTTTAATGTATGATATTTTAGTGTTTTTTGGTTTCTATGGAAGCCGCCCAGAGTGGCTGGGGAAACCCAGCCAGATGGGTGGGGTACAAATAATAAATTATTATTATTATTATTATTACATTCATATATTCAACACAAGAAACAGCGGCAATTTGTTGTTGACAAAGGACAGCTGGACATATAAAGGGCCCCGTTACCTTCAGTAGCCTAGGGCCTCAGCAAACCAAAATCCAGCCCCGATTACTACTAAAGACGACATGAGATTTCAGATTTCCAAACCCAGGTGTAAATTTTACTATAGACGTCCTACTGGCTTAAACTTATGTTGTGGACGCCAGATAACAAAAACAAGAATCTTTTTTATTTCGTTTTAAATAGGATTCTTATAAAACCTAAATCCGGCCCTGCCAATCTTTTTTATTTCGTTTTAAATAGGATTCTTATTAAACCTCAATCCGGCCCTGCCAAAGGGAGCTCCCGCCCCCTTCTCTTTCACCCGGAGGGGGGGACACGAGGCACGTGGGAAACCAAAGCGGGGATTTTGTTCACCCATTAAGGGCTAGCCTTGAGCAAGCGCGAGCCTTTATTCTGCCCAAACCATCACTTTTTGCTTTAAACGGAGGTGGCCGGCGGGCGGCCTGAGGTATTTACCCCGCGCCCTCCCCCCCCCCCCGCGGCTCAGATCCGGAACCATTAACTCTCCCCCGCCCCTTGGCTTGGAGAGGCTGGCGCGCCGCGTGACGTCATCTCCGCGCGCGACGGAGGAGGAAGCCGGCCGGCGGTCGGGTTGGGGGAGGGGCGGGTTGGGAGCGCGGCTGCCGCGCGGGCGAATGGGCAGGATGAGGCCGGCCGCGTTCGGCTTAACCGTCGTCCGGCAGTGAGTACGGCGCCCCTCACGCGGCCGCCTTTGCCCTTGGCTCGGGTGGGAGGGAGGGAGGGAGGGAGGGAGAGAGCCTCTCGGGAACCTGAGGGAGGGGCGGATTTACATATATGCTAAACATGCTAATTACGGGGAGGGGGGGAAACTGGATGTACATTTCCAAAATATAAGATAAAAAACAAATAAAACCTACATGCAGCAACAGTGTTTTGTGTTGTTTATAGGCTCCCATTCTGCATGTGCAAATGGCTTTAGATACCTATGAGGTCCATAAATTAATATTTTAATGTTGTATTTTAATCTTGTTTTTAAGTTGTATTCATTCAATTTGTTTTTATTATTGCTTGTTAGCCGCCCTGAGCCTGGCCTTGGCTGGGGAGGGCGGGGTATAAATTAAAATTATTATTGTTATTATTATTAATTACCATATAGCATATATTCAAGACAAAAAATAGCAATTCGTTGTTGACGAAGGACACCTGGACATATAGGATTCTTACTACCTTTACTTAATTAAATTTATTAATTTGCTACCTTTTAATTAATTTATGAACAGGTTTGAAAGCCATCTTTATGGTAACTTGCATACCGTAAAACCCGATATTAACACATACACTCACACACACACACCATATATTTCTGCACAAGGAGGCCTGATGAGGCCTATTCCAGATTTTAAATAAGTTTTAATGGAAACCTAGTATGAGGGTCTATAATAAATCCATAAAAAGATGGAATACATACATGGCTTTGCAACGATCATGTAATATTTACATCCAAATGCTCCTCAGAAATACTTGCAGGTTTTCCAAAAATAAAAAATGCAGTCATTGTGATACCTAGGAAAATGTTGGTTTAAGTTACTAATTGTACTTTTAGCTGCAGTGCTTTTTAAGCATGGAGGATCATCAGAATCTGTTCATTTATATGCCACTTTCCCACAAAATGGTTCCGTAAGTGACTCACATCATGTAAAATGAAAAACTATATATAAACAGTAATTCAAAAAACATACTAGAAACAATTGGAAATAATAATATCAATAAATACAAAAAAAATCAGACATTTGTTGGCATCCATCTGTCTTAAGAGACAATGGATTGTGCTATTTCCCTGATCTGGGGAGATCAGGAATATAATTCGTATGCTGCTTTGAGATCTGTTAAAGAGAGGCAGAATAAATCTAAAAATAGCTTGCAGTATGTTCCTCAGCTGAGGAATGATCCTGGCTTCCTACCCAGGTTCCCTGTTGAAATGTGCATGCAGCAAATTAAGAATTGACTTGGTTATCAGCCTTGCCCTTATTCCCTTGCTTCAGGTGGGTTGTCTGCTATTATATGAATGTTCATGCATTTATAAATTCATTTATTTAAAAAAGTGCTTTGGGGAGTGCATGCATGTACGTGTGTTTGTGTGTTGACTGGTGTCTGGGGTTGGCAATAGATGGTTTGCACAGTCCACTTCAGCCACAATCTGCTGAACCATATTTTTTTCAATTTGACCAGTAAGGAAATTAAACACCTGAATTTTATGGTGAGGCCACTTCCAGCATGGCTCTACCCCTTCCCTTTCTCTCTACCCTCCTCCTCTGTGTTATGTAAGTTGCCTCCATAAATAAGAATTCTTTTTTTGAAAACATTTTCTCTCTTTCAGTGGGGAAACAAGATACAACAAAGAGAAGATTCTGCAAGGTGTGTGTCTCTTCTGTTGCAGCAAGAGTAATAAGTCATGCT